AGCTGCCATTCGCACAACGCAGCTCGCTGATCCTCGTCGACCTTTACGGTCTGAACGCGAAGCAACGCGACAGCCACAGTTGCGAAAGACAGGTGGATCTGATCTGTCATAGCAGCAAGCTTGAATTGAATTGTGGCATCGATGCTTGCTGCGAACCGTCCGAATTTCAGCGATTCAGCAACCGTGTGTTCCTTCACTCCTTCACGGTAGTCTGGCATTGAGGGTACTGGTTAATCGCGCCCTGACAATTGTTAGAGGTTGTCGTTCGAACGGTCGCTAACTCAGTAGAATGAACGCGAATGCAATTTTGTCGACCATCATCGATACGGAAAATCGTTGTTCCATTTCTACCACAATGACTGACAGCGAAACCTCCACATTTCGCAACATTTCAAATCAATTACGATTTGGCTTGAAGAAACTAAACCCTTCGAGAAACGCTCCGGTGACTGGACCGAATTCCCCGTACATCCCACAGTGATCGTTCCATCTGGATTTCAATGTCTGTTTGGCTTGCCTTCTTCGCGACAATTAAATACTCATTTAGTTCCAGGTGTTTTCACGGGCTTTTGCTGAAGTTCATACGGACCCTTTCGGTCCGCTTCCACAAGGCCCTGGTCAAAGAAGTCTTCGCTTCAATGATGTATCTTCAGCATTAGCTCTTAATTAATCCAGCGAAGCGCTCTGCACCAACGCGACGGACAAGGACCTCACGAACGTTTCATAACAAAGATGACCTGCTGGAAACGAAAGAAATCATATCCATCATAAACGACTGGTGAATCAGCTGTTTAACACACTTTCTAACTTAGGAAAAGATATTGCTAAGTAATGAAAAGAACCAACATGCGACGGAACATAGATATGTTTACAGCTAGCTAATGGCAGAGTTAGCGTAAATGACATCTCAAAACCGCCCAAGGACAGAATTCATGCGAATTCTGATGAACGACCTAAACTGATCTGTGCCACAGTGCGTTTTGTTAAGGACTGAGAAATGCTCAAAGAACTGGATGAAATCGGCGCGAAAAGGTACTTGAATGGTATACTAAAAAATCGTTGATCAAAACGCACGTGTGAGCACTGAAAAAAGCAAAAATTCTGTCTTTTACGCATATTGGCATACTTTTAGCGTACCGTCATAATGCCACCCATTCAAAATATTGACCACTAATGCGTTGTTTCCATAGACTAGATACGGTTGAATACCGATATTTGATAACCGTTGGGTCATGAAAATATTAAACATTTTCACTTAACTATAATGCAAATTTCACAAATGCAGCATATATCGAAGGTAGAAAACTTTTATTATGGCTACCCGCCAATATCTTCATATGCCTGTCTGTCATAATTAATCTACGACAAGATAAACACCTTGGGCGACTGCAAGATGCGTAAACAAATACATTTATGTGGACGTGAGAACTAGCCATTAGCGTGATTAAAAGCGATTGATTAAAATGCTTGGAACGTGAGCACAGACGGGAATGTATTGTGGTGGTGAATCTTCGAATCTTCAGCAAACTTTTTATATGTCAGAAAGTAATTCTTGGACCGTTACCGTTATTAGAGAACTTTCATGCATTTTAATTTAATTGAACATATGACAGACGTTTGAAATATCTATCAATAATGACCTTTCAGACCCGCTACCTGCAGAAGTAAATATTGTTCACTGTGGTCATTGCCGATGTACCTTAGCAGCGAGTTAGAAATGCCTCAAAATGGCGTTAGTACGCTTAACGAAAAGCTTACGCCGAGTAAATCCGTTTAAAATGTTATGATTACCGGAAAAATCTGACGGCAACTATGTGGCAGCAACCCCAGTACATTAGAGTTATCTTCTTTTGTCTATATATTTGCTTATGGACAATACTCGAACGCGTCCTTGCTCAACTCAATTCAGGGATGCGGTTCTGCATCCAATGCAGCGCAGGTGTTTAAATACCATGAAGCAGTGGCCTGCTTAATTGATTCCCTTAAACGATTATAAGCAAGTGGGAGGTGCGCCTACGCCGAGTAAATCT